TATGCCCAGAGTCACGGAACGCATTAAGTTCGTATCCCGAGGTACCACTGTATAAGGAGGAGGAGGAGGAGGTACAGCATTGTCAGACCTGCAAGATTCTGTTATTATAGTCAATCTCAATAAAAATAGTTTAGCCTTCATGAGGAGCTAATTTCCTGTTCTGGTCTACCAAGTGGGATTAACACTAGGTTGCCCTGGGAGATCAGATAGTGTACCTCTGCGTTAAGGTAAAGCCATTACTGGATATAATCCAATAACTAATAGGAATGGGATCACAGCTTAGTGGTAAAGAACACGGTTTGCGTGTGAAAGGATTCAGATACAAACTCTACCATCTCTGCTTAGAAAACCAGGTTGGTCTAGTGGTTAAGGCATCAGGCTTGAAACCAGGAGACTATGAGTTCTAATCCCACCTTAGGCATGAAAGCCGGGTGGGTGACTTTGGGCTAGTCACCCTCTCTCAGCCCAACTCACCTCACAAGGTTGTTGTTGTGGGAAACATAGGAAGAGGAAGGAGTATTAGGTATATTCACTGCCTTGAGTTATTTATAAAAATAATAAAGGCGGGATAAAACAAAACAATCAGGGGTATAAAGGATGAAGAAGACTTTTTCATGGAAATCTATCAGGAGAGGGCAAGCAAGGGCAAATGACAACATTTATATGATCATGCAATCATGCAAATGCTGTGACTTGTGTACTTGTGTCAAATGCTGAGACCAAGTATGTAACGACAATTGTGCGCATTGTCATTTTGCTGTCATTGCTCTTTGCCGCAGAAGGCATTGGATCTTTCTCTCTCTCTCTGTCTGGAACCCTGGAGAGCTCCTGCCAACAATACCAGCCTACGCTGAGAAATAATAGCTTCCTACAGCATTGCAGCATCTTTCAGACTCTTTAAAATGGCATTGTATTAGCTTGAGAGCTGCCTTTCCATGAAGATCTGAGAGAGAGAGACCAGCAGTTAAGTAGTTCTTCAGTATTATGACAATCTCATGTAATATGAAGATGTGTTATATCAGAGAAGCAAAAACTTTGTTAATACTGTCCTGCCAGGTGTCTGCTGCAGCACAAGAAGACTATTTAGTAGTATATCTTTATGCATTCACATAATTACAGCTATAACAAGTCTTTTTTCTATTATATTGCCTAAAAGAAAGGCTAGATTCCAATTATTTTGTGTGTTCAATATTTCAGCAGAGCATACTTGAAAACTGAATACATTGAATACCCCCGAGCTGCTGTCTGTTTCAAGACTAAACAAATGGATCTTCTCCAAGATTTCAATTCATGAAAGCATCCTCTACTTTTGCCTACCCACACTATTAGAAAAAGTACTTTTGGTGTGCTAATACAAAGAGATTATCATAAATGTCAGACAAACTTAATAAAAGACATTTCCCATTAAAAATTTCTTTCAGGGAGCTTGCATAGGAATTAAGACTACTGAAATTCCTTAGGAAGAAAATGCCTCATTATTCTGAAGTTAATTTTCCAGCTATGAATACCTGAAGGATGGAGCAGGAAACCCTACTGCATAAATAAGAGACGAATACTGTTATTGGAAAGCAGCAGGAGAAAACAAGTTCTGCAGTTCATTTTTGAATGAGAGTGCCCTGCCCACCCAACAAATCAACTGAGAGTCATTTCACACACTAGAAACAGATCTTGATTATGATACCCATGGGCATCCTGAGAGGAAAAACAAATTATGGCTCTGTGAATGAATGCATCTGTTCAACGTACTCATTTTCTCAACAACATATCTTGATATATATGTAAACATCAGCCTCTTAGATCTAAAACTGTACAACCCTGCAAGGAGTAAGTGATTTATCACAATAGTTGATCAGCACAGAAAACAAAGAAAGAAACTGTTGGCTTTGCAGGGCTCAGGTATATACTATCATTTTATGTTATTCAGCAAGCTTTGCCATAAAATTTTGCCATTCTACACAAAAATGTAATGTATGAAGGGATTAGTGAGGCTGATTTTTTTGAGATTTCTGTGTCAAAATATGTGAGTGCAACTCAAGAAAGACTTTGGTCAATCCACTTAAGTCTTGGGCATACTAAATTAGACTTAAGTCTTCTTGGATGATGCACTGTTATATTTCAGCACAGTTATCAGCATCCCATCCGGAGCACAAACACCGCTGTCACTCAGTTTGCCACATGTTGATCCACAGGTTAAAGGTTAGCACTTGTGGAATAAATGTTTGATTACATGTTTCAATGTCACACAAACTAGACTTGAAGAGATCATCACAGTTGCTTACCAGGGAAGAACTTCTACTGCATTTCTTTGGAATAGGTATATACAGGACTACATATTTAGGCTGCAACCTTTTGTCCCCTTTCTTGTAATAAGCTCCACTGGACACAATGGAATTTACTACTGAGGAATATGCATAGAGAACTACACTGCCAAATACATTTATTTTATTTTACAATCACTCCAATTTTATCTTAAATTAAATCTTTAGAAAACTAAAGATACTTCAACACCATCCACAAATATATAAATATATGTGTGGGTGTGGGTGTATATATATATATAATTTCTAACTCTAAGAGTTGCTAATAGTAAATAATCTTTGCCTTGCAAAAGTGTAAAAGTGTAGTCCTCTCTCTACATCTCAGTTTCCAGTTTAGAAACAGAGATGAATCTTGTAATATGATGGCTCTCATCACTGGAATTTACTTTACCATTGTGGCATACTTGGCCCTGTCACTGGTGTGTTTTAGGAACTCCCTAAAAACACATATATTTATGCTGGCCATTAACTTCCACTAATATTTGTTTTTTAATGGGGGGGGAGTTATTTCATAACATTTATATTATTATATTATTTCTGTAAACTATATGAGAAGCAGTGTACAAATATGTTAAAATAAACTCATCCAGTTAGGGAACCTCCCAAAGCTCTGATTGAAGGGTTGGCTTTTGTACACATTTGGCTTCTTTGTGCTTCTTTTAAGCACTATCACTTCCAAGTACATCATTACATCCGAGAGAATTTTACGCTGCAATACAAAATGCTCACCATGGTGGATGATGCCGTTCTCCAACAGAGCTTGTCCCAGATTGACCCCTTCCTCTGGTTTGCTTATCTCCCCAATTTCTTTCAACCAAGAAACAAACTCACTGGAAAGAAAGAGAAGCAGTATAACAAATGACATTAGCTTCCTATTTCCTTTAGACAAAAAATAAACGTGCAAGATGTGGATTGACTTAAGGCATCTTTCTCTCTACCAGGTAAAGCAGAGCATGTCCACCTGAAACCCACATGTTGGAGTGGTTAGGATGCTGGTGTTCAAATTCCTGCACCCTCACAAAATGTCCAGAGTGACCCTTGGCCAATCATTTTCTGTCCACCTGATCTACTTCAAGGAGCCTTCCTAATGTGTTTAAATAGGCCAAGGAGGCAGCATGCTATGACCCTCCCCCTGAGTTTGTGCATGCATAGTCTCTGAGCAGTGAAGTCTATGTGCGAGTCTCTAGCTCCCACTCCTAACTATCGGGCTTAAAGCAAAACTCTGCACATTTTACCCAAAATTTAAAGCATTTTGTGTGCAAATTTTACATAAAAAATATCCTACCTATATCATTTGCCAGATTGCATGTATTAACTTTTTATTGAGAATGCATGAACATATTATGATGACATAATTACACCATACATACTGTTTGTGTATGAAGAAAGGCATATCGCTCTGACACTCATAACTTTGACCCTAAAGTTGTCTATGTAATAAGGTACTGACACTTCTGCAGTCATCTCAAAGGCCATCAAGACTACTTCTGCAATTAATCTGGTGATTAATGCTTGGTTTCTAAATGGCATGCCAGAGATTGTGCTCTAAGAACTTATGGATGCAGGCTGGACAAAAACTAAATAATATAACAGCTTGTATTATCACTCTTCCTTTGCATGTTCCGCCTCCTTTAAAATTACCATTTGGCTTGAGTTCCTAAGCCTGGGCTGCAAAAATCCAGATGACTACTCAGTGGCAGCAAAGAGATACAGAAAACTCAGACTTTGTGCTGCCATTGAATGATTTCCAGATTTTTTGCCAAGGTCTGATAGCCCTAACTTGGACAACAACTTCTAGAGGTCCCCAAAGACCATATTTAAGGCCCCAGGGACCGCAAGGAGTCCAGCAACCTAAGGTTACACACCTCACAATACCAATGCAAGAGAGGCTGCCACAGGAAGACAAATCAGTAATCAAGAAAGGTCAGAAGCTATGGGGTTGTCCAGCCTACCCCATCACCCTGCATGGACAATGGGAACATTATGCGTTATTTTGTTAAAGTGTGAGCCTATTAGTTAAATAAATGCATCAGTTAAAGTGCTCGTAAGTTGAGGACTATCTGTAGTTGGGTAATGAAACATCTGCAAGCAAACAGCCAAGCTCAGAAAGCACCAAGGACTCCACACTTCAACCCTGAGCTACATATATTCTCTTCTATTGGAATGCGGAAGTTCCAAGACAGTGACAAGAATAAATAAAGTTCAATAATAAAAGTATTGTGAAATTACAATAAAAAGTATTGTCAGGCAAGCAACCTAACTTTTCTTTGTTTTCTTGCTCTAGAGTTTCAATATGGTCAAGATGATATTGTAGGTAACTGACTGGGTCTAGCTACCTGGTGCTTGATTTCCTAATTATTATTATTTGTTTTATTGTTTATTCATTTTAAAAATATAAAGGCATCCCTTCCACATGGACTCTTACAACAGATTCCAGATTACATATGGTGAAATACAAGTTCAGCTAAAATTAGGAAAAATGAGTTGGTGCTTTTCAAAAACCCACTTAAAAGCTTATCATAGCTTCCAGAGGAGTAGATCTGAAAAGTCTGGTAGAGACTGGTATTCTTTACTCATCATCCAAAAACTTCAGAGAAGTGGATCTGGCCAATTTGTAGACTTTGATCAACTTTTTCCAACCTGGTACCTTTCAGATGTACTGCTCTACAACTCCTATTAAATCTCAACATGTTTAGCCAGTAACTTCAACACTGTAGAAATTCTGCTCAGCCCCACTAACTACTGAAAGGTCCTGCAATGGGTTATATACCCTTTCTTTTTTATTCCCCTGAACAAAGTTAAAAATGTTATTTCTTTCTTTTTGTCCCCCCCCTCCCCCAAAATATGCTACCTATGGCTTAGATGAGTCAGCCATCTAAAACATGCTGTACAGTCAAATTCACTGTAACTGGAGGCAGGGATGATGGTTTGAATAAGCAAGCAATATACCCAAATGGCAAGAATTAGAGCTATTTTATGTACATCTGCTTCCTCCACAAAGCTGCACTTTCATGCTTTGTCTGGTTTTTGCAGAGCTTTGAAATAACTATTTTTCAGCTTGACAAACTACCAGATTCCCTCAAGAATGGGGTAATGCCCCATTCATCAGGTTTATTCCTGTCTATGCCCAATCACTCTCTCCTTCATCCATGGCTGCAAAACAGCTGCAGTCTGTCTGGATCTGAGTTGTGGCATATATATTGTAACATGGCATTGCAGTCATTCATTCAGAGAGAAAGGACACCTTCTAAGAAACCTAGGCTACTACCCCAAATGGTATCTCATATAGAGTTTCCATCTTCTCCCTGCAATGTGTAACTGAACTCATGTGTTCATGTGTATGACCTTCCTTGAGCCATGTCTGTGACTAGTGGGAGAAGGCTGAATTTAATAATAGCTCCATGTTTATATGTCCAGCTAGGTATTAGAAGTTAGTTAACCTTGGCTGATCTTCAAAAGCTCAGCAGGGCTGGACATGATTAGTACTTGGATCCCAGATCCAAGGGAATCCCAGAGCTATAGGTTAGACTCGTAAGTCAACAACAGAAACCAGAAAGAGGGAATAGCAAAGCACTTTTTTATTATTGCCAAAAACTAAATGGACATATCCAAGAAGTCACAGCAACTGAACATAATTCAAAGGAAATCTCACCATTTCAGCCTGTTATAGTATATAATTATTTTCTCCTCAAAGTGCTTTCAACTATAATAGGGGGAATCTGAAGCACACTAACTGGACTCTTCCCTCTACACTACATTTCCACCCCAGTTTTGTCCTTAATATGTAGGCAGCTGAACTTCTATTCATATAGGCATGCTTTACAACTCAGAATCTTGAATCAGATGAGAAGGCTGAGGACATCCCATCCCAACAGATGTACCACAACAGAGACAGGAGATAGTGCCAAAGTGCTCCTGTTGATTTTCTTCTTTATAATGTAACAATTAAAAAGGAAGATCCTGGTTTTATATCTTCAAGGTCACATTTAATTCACTGTTCACGAATGAAGCTTCTCCATAAAAGAGCCCCAACAAATAAAAATCTTGCACGGCCCTATTGTGCAAGCAATGATTTGCCTGAGCACAGGCATAAATGAAAATTCTTCATAACTTATTCATGAACTCTTCTGGGAAGTACTCTGTAAATGCCTTGGGAAGAATTTGACATTCTTCATAGGACTGTCCCTATAAATGTTGCCTGAATTTTGCCAGGCATTCTTACAAGTTTCCTTTTTTAAAATTTATTGTAAGTTAAACACTCCTCATTATAAGGAGTGTTTATTACCCCCAGTGATCTGGCCAGAAGATTTTATCCAAAGGAACAAGACTAGTGAAAAAGACTTTGAAGGATCAGGACATGTACATTGACTTCTGTCTGGTACTAGTCAGAAGGATGCAAAGCATAAGAAAGCAAATTTGTACTGATGCAAGAGGAAAGATTAGGGAGGTCAGGGACAAGTGAGGTCTGTAGAAAAAGAGCAGCTACCTTTGGGACCAATATCAAGTTCTCTACCAACAACTTTATATACACACAGATCTGTCAAACAAACTTTAAAAGCCCCACTTGACGTGCATGACAAGAAACAACGTTGGTGGTTAGAGTTTAAAATAGCAAGAAAATGTGCATGCCATATTTGGGGGGGGGGGCGGTAAGATGGGGGTGTTTAAGAGTAAACCTGATATGAAATGACTGATTTGCAATGACATATTGGCTTAGCTTTGCTGGGTGGCCAACACAAGAAAAGCAGCTTGGCTGCTATAGTTAGAAGCCCACAAAGATTTTTTCTTCTTTTTCACAGGCTTAGAAATTATGGCTAAAATAGCAAGATTGCTACATGGAAGGATTAAAGCTTGTTTATAGTTAGATATGTGAATATGGAACTACAGTGCACAAAGGAATAAGCTTCAGTCAAAATTGGGAGTCTTTTGTTAAAAAAAAAAAAGGAGGGGAAGGATCAAAGCAGCTATGGATAGATATTTTTAAAGCTGGTATTAGACAAGGGTGGTAACAAAAAGTAGCTTACAGTGTGAAATATTTCATGCATCCCAAGAAAGATAGTTACAAGATGGAACTGACAACTTCCACAGGCATTTGCATGTTAGCAAAGCAAACAGGAGATCCCCAATCATCCAGTGGCTATATGGATACATGATTATAGCTTCCATCCATTCAAAATATACTGCGGATCAAGCCCAGCACTCTAATGCTGACACTATCTGGGCCCTGAGTGGTGTCAACTTAATCATCCTGGCACAGCTTTTCCCATCATGAAAGTAATCAGCCAATCTTCCCTGCAGATGTGCTTTGGTCTATTAGATTCTTAAAGGTACAATACTCAGTGCCTACGATTTGCTTCTTGAGGAATCCAATATGGCAAATGGCCACATCACAGAATGGAGTTTACTTTTGACTCTGAGATTGGTCTATGGTAAGTGCTGTTGGTGCATAAAATATAGCTGTCATATGAAGATTGATTGGCAATGACAGCAAATAACAGTAGTATTGCACTGTGGTGACAGATGAAGAAGACAGGGCATATACAGGGCAGAGTTGGGTGTTTGACCTGTCAAAGTCCAACCACTCCCACCAAGTCGCATCTAAAAAGTTTCACATGTGAATCTGCCAGAAATACCAATCCTTTCAAGTTTGCCCTGCATGTAGAAACAGCATCACTTCTGTTTCCCAATATATGAAGTTGAAGATTGCTATCCTGCAATATTGATAGAAATGAGAAGGAAACAACACATATTCAGAATTTCATTACTAGAAAAACCCTCTCAGATTACTTCCTATGTAATCTTTTCTTGCTGAATATCTTTAGCCTGTACAGGTAGTCCTTGACTTACAACCATTCATTTAGCGACCATTCGAAGTTACAACAGCGCTGAAAAAAAGTAACTTATGACAGCTCCTCACACTTATGACTGCTGTAGCATCTCTGCAGTCATGTGATCAAAATTCAGGGCCTTGGTAACCGGCATGTATTTACGTGGTTGGTTGCAGCATCCTGGATTCACATGATCGCCATTTGCAACCTTCTCAGCCAGTTTCTGACAAGCAAAATCAATGGGGAATTGTGTGATTCACTTAATGACCGCTGCAAAAAAGTCATAAAATCGGGTGCAGTCATGTGACACCTCACTTAATGACTGCACCGTTTAACAATGAATTTTCCAGTCCCTATTATGATCATAAGTCAAGGACTACCTGTATCAAATTTTCCTTCCACATTCAAAACTAACATTCACACTATTAAAAATCACTTCCTAATATCTCCCTGGCTACAAATTGTGGGGTTTTCCCTGTCTCCTCTGGAAAAAACATGCAACATCCTGTTTTCATTTCTGCATTTTAAATTTGACTGTAAAGCCAAAAAAACTACAAGAGAATCTTTTTTCTAAGTAAAGACAGGGGGCGAAGAGAAAAAGAAGGCAAGACAGAGAGCTAGGTTGTCAAAACTATTTTCAGCTTATAAGTCAAGTGTTTGTTGTGCATTTAATTTCTTCCTTTTCTACAGATTTCAAGTGATATTTGCAAGTTTTCTCCCCCACGCTCAAAAGAATGTGCTGTCATTATGTAATTCAAGGGCATTATGTAGGAATGAATGATTAATTTTAATAAATTAATTGTAATAGAGGTTAAAGACCTTTCCAATTAAATTCCATCAAAGCGCATTTGATTTGGCTTCACAAACCCATCCACAGAAAACCCACAGTCCTTTCTGTTAATTGGAATGAAAGGCCTTATTCAAATCAAATATCACTTACTTGCCAAGAAAGCACTTGGGAACAGTGCTTAATTTTCTCCTCCTGTCTTTGATAAGATTCACTTTCTTGTTCATCATCATGTGATACAGTTTCTCCCCTTTCTCAGCAATCATAGCATAGGCATCTCTCTCCATGCCTAACTTCAGACCTGGAAAACAAAAGCAGGATCTTCCTTAAACACTTCCCAGATAAACTTGGTCAAAAAATAAGTTGGCCTAATGCCAACTAGATCACAGACGTTTTCCTCTCCTTGGTGGAAATAATTTTGTGAACACAGAGGCAAAAACAAGCTTATCAGACACTTCTTCTCCCCTGAATATAATAATGGTAAATCTGAAGCTTCTTTTTTATCTGTTTTCAATGGAAGCTCTTCATTCACTTCCATCACAACTAAGGCTGTGTATATTGACAACACACACAAGTCAATCATAAATATACTGAACACGCTACATCAAGTTTCTGATCTAATTAGTGAAGGTGTAGGATCATGTCTAGTGCAATTCAGAATTGTTTTCATGATCAGATTTCTACTGAAATGATTTTCAGGGGGAGGTACATTCTGGCTGATTGCCATCTTTCTCCATGCTGTGATATTACTCAAATATACTTGCTGACAAGTTCTGCCAAAGGTAATTTGCAAAGTCAGATTGGGATAGAAAGCAGTCTGTGTAATTCAACACATTCTCAATTTGCAGCTACATCATCAAATTCCCCAAGCTCTGAGGTAAGAAGAAGATTGCAGTCCATCTCTTACTCATCTGGTTTGAACATAAAACATTTTGTCTTAGTGCTGATAAAACCTGGCTGTCAAAGTATCTGAACCAGATGGAATTGCTTTTCAATGAAATCTTGAATAAATGCCTAAAGCCTCCTTGATTTCTTTCTCATCTATGATAAATAGAAATTGCCTCTAGACAAACAAGCAAATCCCCAATGCTCTGAAAGACACTAAAGGCTTCACACGTAGAAGATTAACCAAGTTTGAAAAGCAAGACCAATGAAGAATTCTACCTAAAGGTCTAGAAAGCTAATGACTGGCCGAAGAGACAATACAGGGCTAAATAATGTTGGTACTTTTAAATTGGTAAACCAAAATATAAGTCTGTTTGTGTAAACTTCCCTGTTATAGCTTAGCATTATGTGAGGACCCTACAGCTTGTTTAGCAAACCATCATTTCAAAAATCCTGGGTATTATATATGAAGGCCTTAATTTAAAAGACCATTATCAGAAATCATCTGTCCTTTCCTCCTGCACAGAGAAAACCAGTTAGGCTCTCTTAAAAAAATAGTCCTACTGATTGTGCAAGTATTGGTTTTTACATGCTAGTTTCAAATATTAAAACTCCTAACACACTTCTACCATTCAGTAATTTACACCTGGCAAGGCATTTTGGGTTTCATGTTAACTTGCTACTGTTTAATATAAATTCTATCAGGAACAGCCCTAGCATTAAGCAGGTAGCCTGAGAAAGAAAGCTAGTAAACAAAAATGAACAAGGCAGTAAAAAAGGGTTATGTGAGTGCAGTATGGTCTAATCTCTAATCTACTTTACTGTACATACATATGATGCTAGTGCTTCTGAGGTTATAAGTTGTATATGCAATGCCTTATTCGTCTTATTTATCTGCTTTAAAACTTGCATTTCCACTATGCTGAGTACTCAAGTCAGCTAACAACATTTAGAAAGAAAATAAGAAAATAAATGCTGAAATTAATACTACAATCAATTAACAATCAAATACCTGATTGTTTGGGTTGATTTATATTCTCCCTAAGTCCTTATGCTATGCTGATGTTGATCAAGATGCATTTAGAACTACAAAGACTTCACTGTTGCTTTGGATTTGCCTGCTGATCTTCAGTGTACATATTTGCACTTTGCGTATCCTCTTATGTCTTGATGTTGCCTTCAGGCTGCATCTGAATATAGATTTTGCTGGCTTGCTGTCGCAACGCTATTATTCATACAGCAACACTTGTCTTTGCAGCCATAAAATACAAACAGGCAGCTTTTCAGCAGAGACCAACACATCAGTTTGCTCTGTGCTCTACTTGTTCTTGTAAGCAGGGAAGAGGGAAAAAATACCCAGCAACTCCAGTGTTTTGCTTGAATTTCCTGCCACTGATCTTACAGTAAAATTGGCCAAGGTTTGTGTGTGGTGCTTTTCTTTTTAAACAATCCCTGTAGACAAGCAGGTAGCATGAACTACTACTTCGCCTACTTTTATGACCTCGGGTGAAAAACAAGGGAAAAGGGATATGTTCCAAGTTTCTACTGTTTTCTATGGATGGGGCCACTGTAACATAAGCAATTTTCAGGAGAAATATGAACATTCCACATTTTAACAGTAAATATTTCTATCCAGGTCATCTGTTGGCTAAATCATTGATAATGCAACTATGAAATGGTCAATCAGATTTGAATTAGTTTTTCCTTCATTGTAGGTTTTCAAAAATCCTTGTTGCATTGATTTTTCAGCGAGAATAATTTTACACATTTTTAAATACTGCCTATTGTATCAAACACATATTTTACAGTTTTGTATTAACAAACCTTGCAGTGGACAGTAACTGAATAAGTTTATTAAGTTGCAACAATTTATATGCCTTAAAATATGGACAATAAGCCAACAGGATTCATTATAAAAGACACCTGGGTGATTTTTTTTCCAGTTTATTGAAAACTCTTAATCAAAAGGATTCACCAGGTGTAGTAGGATAGTATGTCCTGGTTTGCCTAAAATGCCAAAATGATCTAGAAAGGTTACAATATATATACAGGTGGTCTTCAATTAATGACCACTCATTCAGCGACCCTTTGAACTTGCGACGGCACTGAACTAATGGTACTTACAACCAGTCCTCAAAGTTCCAACTGTCGCAGTACCGCCACGGTCACGTGATCATAATTTGCAACCTTCCCTGCTGGTTTCCGACAAGAAAAGGCAATGGGGAAGCCAGCAGGAAATCAGAAGTCACAGTCACATGAGTTCCTTGGTCAATGACCTGCAGTGATTCACTTAATGATGGTAACTGGGACTGCTGGAACTACCATCACAAAGTGGCATGGTCACGTGACATCATGCTTTATGACTGCAATGCTTAGCGATGGAATTTCCAGTCCCAATTAACATCATTAAGCGAGAACTACTTGTAGTAGCAAAAAATTAGGAGGATTCTGGTAGCACTTTTTCTGATTAAAATTTTTTATTAAAAGCCATAAGCTTTTGTGAGCTGCAACTCAATTTTAGTGGAGTGTTGTGTCACTTTTGAATTGCATTCATGGTCAATTCTTCATGGCATGCTGGAATAGATTTTAAAAGAATGTAATGACACAAGTAAATGCCAGAACCTTAACTAAATGTGTGCTGCACAAACTATTATAATTTTTTCCATAGTTATCAAAAAGAACACTAAAGTACATTCCTTTCCACAACAACTTCCAGTAGGCCTGGGGATCCCTTGGAAACAGATGGTTTCATTACATATGAATTTTTTAACACTCTCCTGTGGTCTTATTATATGTATGTTTTATTGTTTTTAAAGGTTATTCATGATATATTTTACCATTCTGTTTTTATTGCATGCCACCCAGGGTCACATTTGTGAGGTGGGCAGCTATATAAATCTGATAAATAAATAAATAATAAACTTCCTTATTTGCTTATAAAACAAGAACCATAAAGTTTTAAAACCCTTCACTGCGCAAAATAAACTAGAATATGATTTTGTAAGAATACTTGAGTTCTGCATCTCTGAATCTCTTTTAAGGGAAAAACTGAGATGTAAGCGTCTACATTGGAGCTGCTTAAATTACACTTCCCACCCACCCACCATCACCAATTTTTTTTTGCCAATTAAAATAAGCTGCTCCTTTTTCAGATGGGAAAATTCTGCAAATGCATATGGGCAATCTACTTTTTTCTCCCCAAATATAAAGTCTACCAGCCACAAACTTACTCTCTCTTTGTTCCCGTTCCTTGATAATAGCATCCAGCCATTTCTGTTTGTCCTCTGCTGTCTTGGCCATACAGACAAACCATTTATTTTTGGCAGTGTTGTGTATCTTCCATCCATTTGTTACTGTATAACCATTGCTGTGGTAATCTGCTGCAAAAGCACAAATGTACCAAGAAGAGAGTGAGTGCAAATCTTGGAAAATATATTCAACCTGGGGACACACCTGGATTCCACCATTGTCCTTTTTCTATTGTATTAATAGAGGCAGCTTCAATAAATGTCCTGAAAGCTCAATCATAATTTTTAGGTATTGCACTGGACCACAGATCCAATGGAAACTGAATCCTATCATGCATGCCAGTGAAATATCTTGGGTGGGGAATTCTGAAAATAACATTAAGAGTATGTCACATCTACCACTGTTACCCCAAAGTCAGGTAAGACAGTGATTTATGAGATTTCTATTATATCAAGTGATACAGTGAAGTCTCAGCTTCAGCTGATGGATACTGATACCAGAAATGGAAGAGTCAATCTGAATTGCTTTTACAGGCAGTCCCCAGGTTAAGAATGTCCAACTTACGGACAACTCATATTTATGAATGCACTGCTTATTACTAAAACTGGTAGATGGTGTTCTCATTCCTCAATCTGACAAATCGCTGAAGCTGCACAATGTTGTCATGAACCGCTGAAGCTGTGCGTTTTTCAGATACAGCCTGTGAGGCTTCAGCAGTTCGTCGGTTTGAGGGAGGAAAACACCGTCCGCCATTTTTAGTAATAGGCAGCCAGTTTGTAAGTACGAGTCCCAACTTACATACAAATTCAAGTTAAAGACAGACTTAAGAACAGAACTCTTTCTTAACCGGGGCCTGTACTTCTAAGGGAGATCGGACTGACTAAAAATCTGTTATCCTTTAGCGGCAGAGTTTTTGCATTGGTGCAGATTGGACTAGATGGATTTTAAGGTCCTTGGCTTAATCTGGTAATTGAATTAACCCATTTTAGGGGTTAGGACCCCTAAAGTGAACTACCAACTAACCATATGTTAGCAAAGTTAAGAGTTGCTAAGCTTTGCAAGTTCTGGGGATGCATTTTCTAGGTCTTTACCTGACCTAGTTAAATGTATCATATAAACACAGGCTTGGATTTTAAATACCGCTTCAGAAATGCAGGTATTCAATCCAAACTAAAGGGACACCTGCAGAGAAAAAAGGATAGAAAAACAACTGGATTTTTCCCTGACAAAGGATATACGTTTGTTTGTTTGTTTACTTACTTAATTTCTATGCCACCCATTCCTGAAGGTTCTGAGCAGCTAACAGTCAAAATAATTTAATAAACTAAAACAACTTCCTCAAAATAATATTTTTTTAAAATTAAAATTTATTGGCCGCCCAACTCTAGTGGAATAAACGCATGTGCAATATAAACAATATTACCATGTCCTCGTTGAACAACCACTCATTCAGCGACCGTTCGAAGTTACGATGGTGCTGAACAAGGGGGATTTATAACAGGTCCTCATAGTTACAGTTGTCGCAGCATCCCTGCGGTCACATGATCACAATTTGGGCACTTGGCAACCAGCTCACAATTACGATGTTGCAGCGTCCTGCAGTCATGTGACTGTCAATTACAACTTTCACTGCTGGCTTCTGACAACCAAAGTCAATGGAAAGGCCAGCAGGAGGTCACAAATGGTGATCACATGACCGCAGGATGTTGTGACTGCATAGGATTTGCCTAATAATGGCAACTGGGACTGCCACAACTGCCATTGTAAGTCAGCATGGTCACGTGTCATCATGCTTTACAACAAGCTTAGCAATGGAGTTGCCAGTCCCAATTACCATCATTAAGCGAGGACTACCTGTATCTGTTCTAAACCTGTATCACAGCATGCCTTCTTCCTGAGCTAGATGAAATATCCAGGACTTAATTACTCTTGAAACCCAGAAGGGAAGGAGTGGACCATATCTGTATGGGAAGGAAGTCCCAAAGCATGAGGACAATGAACAAAAATGCCCACTTCCTGGGTCCCATCAGGTGGTATTCTTATATTTAATCTGATCAGTTGGGCAGATGGATATGGGAGAAAGTGGTCCCACAGATAACCTGGCCTGGAACTATGTAGGGCCTTACAAGGGACAGCCAGAACCTTGAAATGCTCCTGGAAGGCAACCAGTGTAACTTCCAAAATAATGGGGTCACCCAAATATAGTGGAAAACATTGCTGGGCTACCACATTTTGTACCACTGCAGCTTCCAAATGCTTTTTGGGGAAGCCTTGTGTAGAGCACATTATAGCAGTCCAAGCAGGTGATGACAATGACATGAGTGACTGTGAGCAGGGCCTCCTAACCCAGGAATAGTCACAACTGACACACAAGCTGTAACTGCAAAAGCCTTCCTGGCCCACACTGCTGCATTCTGGACCAGTTGAAACTGTTCTGAGCTGCCCAGAGTTGTGTTTTAAGATGGGTGGCCAAACAAATCTTTTAAATGAAATAAATAAATAAAGCTTTCAGGTGGTCTTCAAGGGCAGCACCACATAGAGTGTGTTACAGTAATCAAGCTGCAAGGTGACCAGGGTGTGAGTGACTGTCTGAAGGGCCTCCTGATCTAGGAGAGGGTACAACTGGCACACCAAATAAATCTGTATTAAGGCCTTCCTGGCCATAGCTGCCAGCTGATTAATTGAGCAGGAGCTGTGAATCCAGGAAGACCCGCAAACAGTGAATCACCTCTGAAAGGGTGTGTACACTTCCAGTAACAGTCAAAAATAGGACATGGCTGCCTTGTCCTTTTGAGAAAAAAAGTAATTGGTCTCTTACCTGTTCCATCTTCTACATTCTCAACCTCCATAACTTCTGTGTTTATTCGCCCTCTGAAGATATAGAGGGATCCATTGATAGACTTAGTACGCTTAGATGTTTTCTTCCCAGCAACTCTGCAGTTAATGGATACATAGTTAGCAAGGATGCTTATTATGTAAACACTGGTACCATTTCCCACAAATACATTAATTCATCCTTCTTCTCTTCCCTAGGAAATATCCCATACATCTCTTAGAGTTCAGAATTACAATCTGTAATAAATATATATCACAAATGTTAAAAAGGGTTTGCATGCATTCCACAGCGATTACAAATATTTTCAGCCATCATATTTTATAGTCAATTTTAGTGTGACCACAAGAAGAGAATAGTACTAAAAGCTAAATAATTAACAATAAAAACAATGAAAAGCTGAAACTAGTGTATTAATAATGTTGCTCACAGAACCTCATATTTATTGCATGATTTTTTTCAGGGACTTCAAGAGAGCATACATACGGATCTACCCTCATTTTATCCCCACAACAATAACTGTGAGGCAAGTTGGACTGAGGGTCAAAGTCACCCAATGGCTCACTGGGAATTTAAACCTGTGTCTTGCTGGTCTAAGTGCAATGCACCATTCTGGCTCATATGGGACAATAAATTTCAGCTGTTCCCTTAGAAATCTTGCAGGCCAATCAGTAGAGTCCTACACAAATCACCATGACATCAGCACATATGTGTGGTATCACCATGCAAATGCTGGCAAGCAAGCCTCAGTTAGATAAATCTCTTCCTAAATCTCACATTGCTTTGCATCAAGGTGGGAATCAATCATGATTATCAGAACTTATCTCTTAAAGACACTTCTTTTGTCATAATTATTTGCAAATAATTTTAATGGAAATGGAAAACATCAAAAGAGCTGGCAAGTTACCTGATTGCTTGTCTGAAATGTTATGCATGCTGTATTCATAAAACTTTTTTTTTTCAAAATACTTATTGTTCATAGGCTCAATATGTTCCTTAATTGGGGGGTGGAGGTGGAAGGACAATCTGCAATTCCAAAACCTCATTACTGTGATATTTGGAACATTTCCTAGGGCTAAGACTCCAAACTTGTCTCACAGCCATCTTTCTACCCACACCACCCCAAATCCCCCCTTTCTTCAGCCTCCCTCCCTCCATAATTTAAAGTGAGAGTTGTTACTGGGTTTTTCTGTTCTAGTACCCAGTCATCACAGTTATCTTCTATTTCAAGGAAATAAGCCAGTTTAAAGATGAAGAATCAATACAGGTACAGAGTAGGCAAAGAGGCTTTGAAGTTGCAATTAAAAATTAGACTAGTCAGAGTCTTCCCCATTATGTTTCAATGTACTGTATTTCTGTTTCAATTCTAATAATTATTTCTACATTTTCATTATGCCAATAAATAAGCATATGCAATTTTGGGATACTAACTGCTGAAGGTTAATTTACTCTTCCATTTTAAGCATATATAAGATACCTCTAATACTCCTCCAATACAACAATACAAGCAATCTCTGTCAAAAAGCCCTTGATCTTATTTTATACCTATGTAATTCAGATCACACCATTACAAGCAGACTTCCAGGAAAAAGATATGCATCTATCAAGACACTTTCAAAATACATTTCAGCAGAATTAACAACAACAAAAAAAACACATAAATCTCCATGCTGTAAATAACACCAGAAGAAAAAAATAGGTGTACACAACAGCATCCAAAAAATGTCCATAAAGATTCTTTTCCATTGAGTTTAGCAAGTTCTGTGCATCTATATATAATTGGGGTTACACTAAAATAGATAGAGCAGTTTGGGGAAGCACTATTATTTACTTGTAAACTTTATTAATATGCTAAGTGTTTCATTTAAAGAAGACTACAATTGCTACCCTTCCACTGAGCTTTATTTATACTTGCAATAACAACTGCTTCACCCTAAATAAAAAGAATGCATAGGGTTCAAATTCTATAAATTAAAGGCTGCTTGGGGGAGCGACCTGCTAAGACCCAAGATTTTTAAAAAGGAGGTGAATATCATCAACTGTTTTCAGGAAGCACAGAGGCATGCTGCTGAGACAAAGAAAATCCATTGCTATAGCATCTCTGATAGGTAGCTATCCAGATTAAGAAACCACTATCTTCCAAAACCCAGCATAGGGCTGGGTTATTTGAGGGACTGCCTCTACTTGATTGTGTCTACATGAGATCCAGCAGGAGAGCTTGCTACAGGTCCTAGCTATTAAAGAGTGCCATCTGGCAGGACCCAGGAAAAGAGCCTTTTCTACTGCAGCACCCCCCCTTTGGAACATCATCCCCCTGGAAGTTAGGTTAGCCCTACCCCTGGGTCAGCTCTGAAGACCTGGTTATGTCACCAGTCATGGGAGATGGAATATGTGGTACAGCCTGTAGGATGGTTATGTTAATGGTTGTAATGGTTTTTACCTCAGGTGCCAATTCTTATTTATTATGGTGCTATTGTTTTATGTTTTTAACTGCTATTTGCCACCCAGAGTTACAAGGCTGAGGTGGGTGGCCATAGAAATTAAAATAAATCCATCCATGGAACTATGAATATATGAAAATACTCATAGTACCACAACATTCTTCTCCATTAGATAAAAACCCTGCTTTTCATTTTAATTCCCGTTTCTTGTCCTTTCAATGCATGTTCTACCCACTAGAGTGACAAAGAACACATTTATTAAAACATCTATGTGGCATTTGAAGAAACGTATCAGGTCATTATATATAATTATTCTTGAGAACTGTGAAGGTGAGTACCACCAATGTGTTGGGTTATATTGGACAGGTTCAACACAACAAATTGCCTCCTGCCACTTGAAATTGGGAGGTGGATAGGAATATATATGCCACCCCCTGTACTGGGTACTGCATAAAAAAATACTGCATCCTAAACCTGTTGTGGAAGTATACTTTTTAAAGGAAAAAATGCAAGCACTTAATGACAGATGGCAGAGGAACAGTTGGCAGCTAAAAATACAATCTATCATTGTGACAGGATCTGAAACCATAGTATCATTAGGGTGGTTGGTTATGTATGTATGTATGCATGCATGTATTGAAATAATGTATATATCTGCCCGCCTCTCAATTGCTTTCATTTAATCATTGTTTGATTTGATTCAAGACAACAGTTCTCAAGGCTGAACCAAGAAAGCATGGTGCATCCGAAGGTTCAGTTTAAGCAGAGACCTTGGATGGAGCTGCTGCTAAAAGTAACAGAACACATAAGAACTGAATAGTAAGAGTCCTGCTGGATCAAACTCCATGTAGGTCAGCATTCTCTTCTCCCCCAAGGCTGGCCAAGATGCCTCTGAGAAGCACATAATTACAACACAGACTTGTTCTCATAATTTTCCTAACCACCATTTAATACCATCACAGCATATCACTGTAGGTGACAATGATAAAAACAAAGAACAAGCGATGGCAAAAGATGGCAAAACCCAGGCAACAGCAAGAAGTAAACATGCACTATCCAGAAGGGGGGCTTCAATCACTTTCATCAAAGGCTTGGGTGAAGAGCCAGGGTTTCAAGGCCCTCTGACATACCAGCAGGGTGGGGGCCATCCAGATCTCAGGGGGAACCTCATTTCAGAGGAGAGGTACTGCAGCAGACAAGGTGCACTTCCAAGGTCCTGATAGATGGCATTGTTTAATTTTCCCAGTAGTAACGTATGGCTGTGAGAGCTGGACCATAAAGAAGGCTGAGCACCGAAGAATTGATGCCTTTGAACTGTGGTGCTGGAGAAGACTCTTGAGAGTCCCCTGGACTGCTAGGAGGTCAAACCAGTCAATCTTAAAGGAAATCAACCCTGATTGCTCTTTGGAAGGATTGATAATGAAGCTCAAGCTCAGATACTTTGGTCACCTAATGCGAAGAGAGGTCTCTTTGGAAAGGCCCCCGAGGCTGGGAAAGATTGAAGGCAAAAGGAGAAGGGGACAGCAGAGGATGAGATGGTTAG